CATCCAACTTGTGTGAGACATGTCGCTGCGATCAGTCGAGTTATACTGAAGACCTCACATATCACAATGGGTTATCAAACTGTTGTACACACCACACATGGTGTCAGGGCATTTCTGGATTCCAAAAATTTCACATTGTCTGTACATTGGACCCTGAACTTACAACAGCTATTGAACCAAGCTCACATACAGTTTACAAGTGAGGGAACAAACATGGCCACGCAGATGGTCACTGAGCAAGATCATGATTGCGTGAGCAAAACAGACAGAAATGAGACTGCATGAGAACTTGTATAAGGAACCTCTACCTAATGCAGAGGTAACACTGTACTGTGATGGTCACAGTCATCAGACTGCCACTGGCAGTCTAGTTGCTTCATACACTGTGGTCAAGGACACAACAGCTGGCTTAAGAGTACTGCAAGCTGATGTGATCCCACAGCCAAGTTCAGGCCAGATGGCTGAGCTGATTGCTCTTATAGAGGCATGTAAATGGACTGTATGTAAGCTGTCAAAAGGCAGAGTTGTAAATATCTACACAGATTCTGTGTATGTGGTACAGGCAGTACAAGTAGACTTGTGCCACTGGAGAAAAAAAGGTTTTGTGACTTCAACTGGCTATCCGGTAAAACACTTGCAGCAGTTACTGGAATTAGATCAAGCGTTGTTGCTACCAAAGCAGGTGGCAATTGTTAAGTGCAAGGGACATCAGAAAACAGAGAATCAAATAAACAGAGGTAATAATGCAGCTGATTTGGGTGCAAAGGTAGCAGTTGGATATCAGGTAGCTCAGGGAGCTATGAAAGGGATCCAAGACCTAAGAGGTCAGAGCTTTGAAAGCTCAGTACATAAAGGGATCCAAGACCTAAGGGGTCAGAGCTTTGGAAGCTCAGTACAGACAGGATCCAGATCTAAGGGGTCAGAGTTTAAGGAGCCTAGTACAGCTACTCAGGACCCAGGAGGTCCAGCTCAGGGAGCTAAACAGATGAGTCAAAACCCTGCAGAAGGGGGTCATGTTTGTGAGACAGAGTTGAGCTTGCAGACTATTAGGGAAATACAAAATAAAGCTGCTCCTACTGAAAAACAGGCGTGGCTAGGCAAAGGTGCATCTAAAGGATCAGACAGGACTGTGGAGAAACCAGGAAGGTAAAATAATGGCCCCGGTGGGACTACTTAGCTTGCTGTGTCAAGAGGTGCACAGTAGAGGACATTGTGCAAACTCCAAGATTAATAGTCTGATCTCTCAAAATTGGTGGCATCCGCATTTTAGGGATATCACCAAGTACTTTGTTGCAACATGTGAGACATGTAATCAGTTCAACTCCAGAGCCACGCTGAAAGCGGGGCTAGGGGGATTTCCAGTTCCAGATGCTCCCTGGAAAGAGATTGTTGTTGATTTCACAGATATGGGAGCTGATAAAACAGTTGAAGGAAAACGATATTTACTTATCTGTGTGGATCCATTTTCCAAATGGAATAGAGGCTTTACCCACAAAAACAGAGACAGGTAAAGAGGTAATTAAGTGGCTCACTAGGGAAGTGATCCCCCGGTTTGGGGTATTTGAGATCATTAGATCTGATAATGGAACACACTTCTCAAACGATGATCTACGTTTGGTTGAGCAGAAGTTTGGGATAAAACATAGGTTTGGGGCTGTCTATCATGCAGCCTCTCAAGGGCTTGTTGAGCATGCAAACAGAATTATAAAAGAAGGGCTTGCAAAAGTCTGCGCAGACACTAACTTAACCTGGGTTGAAACTCTACCTATTGTATTGTTCAACCTCAGGTCCGCTCTGAATGCGATGCTTAATGTAAGCCCACATGAAATCCTGACAGGGAGAAAGCTGCCCTGTCCTCTAACTGTTATGCCTAGAGATTCAACACCTCTTCTTTTGCAGCATGCTGACATGAGTGAATATGTCAGACGATTGAACAACGTGGTGATGAGTGTCTCTGAATAGGTTATTGAAATCCTGTGCAGGGACCAAACTGAGGAACCAACACCAGCTGCAGTGGACAGCTGGGTCTGTCGAAAGGTGCATAAACCTCACTGGTCAGAACCACGTTGGAAAGGACCTTATAAGGTAGCAGAAATTACCACACACTGTGTTAAACTGTGGCTCACTGGGAACAAGCTAAGTACCTGGATCCATAAGACACATTGCTCTCCACTGAGGATCCAACTGGACAGACAGTGAATGACGTCAGGGCTGATTTAAGAACCTCATTACCTGAGTTGATATACAATCCTGTAGAACCATAGCCACAGTTAGAAGAGGACTTACACTAGTGTAATATTTGTCAGAGAACAAAAACGTTGACAGGGACAGCAGACAAAATGCCTAGTCTGGCAAGTTTAGGCAACTGTCCTGGCATGGTTGTCTGTGTTCTGGGCCTCGTTAGCCTAGTTATAGTGGTACCCATATTGTGGTGGGAAACAAGGTCCCACATACACCGTGAGAAAAGAGCTAATGTCTTGAGTCCACCCGAGTTGGTTTTTAATTTGGGTGAAACTTCCACTTTAATGGTAGACACATGTGACATTCTTGACTGCTCTGGGTGGCCTCAGCAAGAGCAATTGACAGTTTGATAAATACATTTGTGTACTGTCCTATGTCCAGTTTAATATGTGGTCATTATTTCGTTCTAAGCTCTGTGCTTATTGGGGGGATGTAGGATGGAACACTGGACCTGTAGCTTGGGGATACTGACCGACTGATGCTCAGAAACATTTATGTGAGGGCAAGGCCTTGTTAGATCGGCTCTATATAGTCAAGGGAACAGCCCCTGATAATTGTAAGTTAAATCAATGTAATCCTTTGTGCATAACCCTTCAGGAGCCCTGTTTGACAGATAATGGCCACATGTTTGCACTGGGGGCTTATGTTTCAGGTGCTGATCCTTCAGGGAAATTTACGATATTTGTGTGAACCAATTCGAGCTATAACCATAGTCTGTATGACTTATACACTCGTGATAACTCTAAGAAAGATGATTCACGCTACATTCCACTTCATCTGATCTGCAGAAAAAATTAGTGATAGAAACAGGATTTGTGCAAAAAAAAATTATTGGCTTGAATGGGTTCAAAATGCAGCACATAAAGTATTAGTTAACACCTCTTGTGTTGTATGTGCAGGACCTCATCCTGCTTTGCTTACAGTGCCTTCTCTCTTGTCGGATGCTAATTATACACACTGCATGCTTGAGCTGCATATGACTGAGAACCCTAGTACACCAGCCTGCAGAGATTTGGAAATTTATTACCCATTGGCACCTAGAGATGCAGTACCTCCTATCTTTACTGCAGTCAAAAATAATTATACTTGTGTAACCATAAATAAAAATGTAGATGGAATAAACTATGTCCATTTTAATGTTCAGCGTCTTACTAATCTTACCAGAGATTTAGCTGTTGGGTTTCAGGAGCAACTGGCAGCCACTTCTCTTATGTCGTATCAGAACAGATTGGCATTAGACTTCATTCTGGCTGAAAAAGGGGGTGTTTGTACTATGACTGGGTAACAGTGTTGTACTTACATCCCTAATAACAATGCTCCTGTTGGCTCCATTGCTAGGGCCCTGACAGGGTTAAAAATCTTATCAGAAGAGATGACTGAACATTCAGGAATTAAAAATTACATAGATGATTGATCTGAAAAAAATTTTGTCAAGTGGAAAAATTTAGTGGTTTCTTTGCTTACTTCTTTTGTGGCAGCAGTTACTTTGCTGACCCTGTGTGGATGCAGCTGCATCTTTGTCTAAAGTGTATCACCACTGCCACTGATAATAGATACCCATTGACTCCTGCCTATGAGATGGTTCAATACCAATCTCCATGGGAAACTATGCCCATGATCTCACTCACTAAGCCCGGTGTATCTGAGATTGAAGAGGACCCCTCGGATGGGGAAGAAGACCGTGACCTCCTTTCATACTATTGCTAAGGGTTAACACATATCCACATATATTCTTGCATACATGTAGGTGGTGTAGACTCAGGTTTGTAATTGATTCTGATTATTGAGTAGAATTTTGTGATAAATGTGTGATACTGGTAGAAGATTTTTAGTCTCCAGCATAATGGATTCCTCCTGCAAATGTTATGATTAACCAATGAATGATTATTTGCTATATGTTGTTTAGACATTTCCATGTTTTTGTCTGAAAAATGCTATAATTGCTAAAAATATCAGCTTTCACATAGAAGCTTACATATAAGACCACAGTAACGAAGACTCAGCTTACATGCCATTATTTTATGTTATTATTTCAGATTTTGCCCTAGGTACTCAGCTCTGGGCTTTCCCTGTTAGGGGTGGTATGGGGGGCCTCTCTCTTCCTTGGATCCCTCATCTGGGAACAACAGGGACATTTGATTTAGGTTGACATGATAAAAAATGTGTCAAAAGGGGGAATTTATTAGATAGTTGTTAGAAATTTATGTGTTAGTGATGCAATTTAGTAAGATTCAAAGTCTGCTCTAGTGCTCTAGTCTGTTTTGTTTCAAGGTTAGCAGACAGAATGTTGATTCTGAAAAGTGAACCATGACACCAATTGTTTTCCTGTATTAATCTTGTGTTAGAATATTATGTCTGAATAAATAAATGAATGCCTTGTCACCACGTGACAACATACACACACATTGAGATTCTTCATCTTGTTATGACTAGGTAGAAACGCAGCGGCTCTAAGCATGTGGAGTACTAGATAAGAGATGGAGTCTGCAGACTGACTTCATCTGGGTAACGGGTTAGCCCAAAACTTGTAAATGTATTGGGCTCTGTGTAGCCAGGAACTCCTTTTTCCAGCAGACAGTGTGTGTGTTTCTGAAAGGGGGATCAACCCGGGTCGTGTTTGTAATTTTTACTTGTGGTTTAAAATAAATCAGCACTAAATGAAGAAAGACGGACTCCTTCATTATTCAGAGCTGTCCAATTAAAGAAGTAGGGGTATTACAGAGTGTATATGGTCATATTATTATTTTCATAATCCCTACCTGAAAAAGAGGGACTTTGCTGACAATGGAATAGTTCACATCTATAGCTATGTCCAGACGCATTTTATCTGGCAACTGAGACAGCAGCTCCTGCTCATCTGGATGGAAAACAGTAAAAGGCACAGTTTGACTGAAAGATCAATTGTACAAATGCATATGAACATGCATACAGTATATTCTCCTTACCCAGCATGCCTTGAGATTGCCAGGTGTAGCTGTACCAGGTTTTGACCCGATTCTGGACGTCTTTGGAGATTCGATAGGAGGACATGTATTTAATAGTGTTGTCCACGCAACTGCGATAGTAGGTCTGACCTGCTGTAGCTGCACCCACCACATCACGCATCTGGAAGACAAGAGAGTAAAATTAGCCAATTGACTCTTTTTTTGTTAATTTAACAACATTATGCATGCAGTGCATAATTTGAATATTAACATAAGAGTCTAGGAGGCACTAATGTCTTAATTACATTTATATACCTACTTGCCCAATCATGATAGAGAAGACAAAGACTCCAACAAAGTAGTTGATGAGTTGGAAGATCCTCTCAGATAGGGTGGTGGGCTGTGGCACACCCCCAATGGTGATTATGGACCTCACAGCATAGATGTAACAGCGAATGTAACTGAACAGAGAGAAACACGAGAGCAGAAAGAAAAACAAGGAAATGAACATGACATACCAGCTGATAAGAAAATAGTCAATAGATGCAAACAGAACAGGCTAAGGGAGACATTCAATGGGAGGTATGTGTGACCCATTGAGCAGTTATGCTATTATTAATCTGAGTAGACACATTCCTTGGTTCTCTGCATGTCACACCTTTATATTTTTAATCTGAAATTTCTGGTATTTCTAAACCACGGTCTACAAATCAATCCCTTTTAAACCCCTGTCCTTAATCATTAAAACTGAAAAAAGGTTGTGTATGTGTGTTTTTATCCCACCAACCTGTTGCCCTCACCATCATACACCCATGTGGTAGATCCCAGCCCTTTCCAGGCAGAATACCAGTAGAAGATACAGGCATTACAGTGGAGACAGAACAGAAGATAGGTGGTGGTACGGATCACCCTGAGAGATGGAGAGTGAGATAGCAATGCCCATGAACACACTGAATATCTAGAACCAGTTATTTGTTCAGCTGTGTCACTGCATGGCACCTCTTTATGCTTTATAAGGAAGACAGAGAGCGACAGAGATACAGAGACTAGGAAAACAAAGCTTTCTGTCTTCTTGATTTCTGCCAGCATTGTAAAAGTATGTAATGAAGACAGAATAGGGCCGTAGTTACCACAATTTTATATGTAGGCCTACAGATGTTATAAAGTTACAGCTGACCTGTAGATGTAGGCTTTGGCCAAGATGGCTTCTAGACGATCATTGAACTCAAAGAAGGAGTGGACCTGGGGGGGCAGAGATACAAAACAGAAAAATATTTGTAAAGTAAGATTTCAGAATTGGGTGTCAAACAACTGAATAACTAACTTAAATTTTCCAAAATTGATACATAGAGCATTAGAGATAAATTGCTTCGTATTGGTGCCATATTTACTGACAATGTATTTGATATTGACATTGTTGCCTGTGGTTCAACAAATTACAACACACACACCGTGCTGCTGACAAAGCAAGAGAATTCTGAGTGTTGTCACCAGAACACTGATACTCTAGCAGGTTTGAATGGATTTAAAATCCATCCAGGAAAATGGTTGAAATAGTAAAATACAGTGATAAAGCCTCACCTTCAGCAGCCTGGGTAAGCGAAGCAGAGGGTTGATGCCAGTTTTAAAATAGAAGAGTTCCAGGGGAACAAGGCTGGCAATATCAAACTGTAAAGCAGGAAGGTACCAGCTCACTCTGATGTACTGCTTGTTGATCATTTGATTAACTGGGACTGATCAGTGAATCAAATTTTAACCAGCATTGAATCAGCTCTCTTGTTACTTACTTTGAAGTTTTTGTTTGTCGTGTAATTCTTTCTTGTCTCTTTTTTGTCAGTCTGTAATGAAAACAAAATGATTACAGATTAATGATCCTGGGGAGTTCACATTATAATCTGAAACTTACATTTTATTTTGTTAAAAAGTGAACTCCTTTTATATATGGCAAACTACAGTCTTAAAATACTGTATACTAATGTAACAAATTAGGTTATTTCCTAGTTAGATAGATATTCAGAGATTTGTTGTCTAGAAATGTTTAGTGCAGACAGATTGACTAGCTCAGGCTGTTAACTGTTCAGTAAATGTGCCTGCAGTGCAGACTGCAGGCAGGTCAAGGTTACAGGCAAAGAGCTGTTAGTGTCAACTGTAATGCTAGTCTTAATATTTGTCTTAATGTGTAAGGTTATGTCCAATTGTTTTAGATACACACCACGAAAACAACAGTCACACACCTTGACTTTTCCTCATGTTTTGGCTAACGTTATAGCCAGCTGCAAAGCTGGCTTATCAGGTGACGTCACGGTTTTGACGCCCCGAGTAGCATGGGCTAGCCCAAAAAATGATTAAGATTATATAGGTTTGGTGGTCCAGACATCTTGATCTTTTTCTGCTGCCTGCGCGCAGGTAGAGGGTGAGAGAAAGATCTGGGCGTGTAATGTAAATTTTACCTGTGTTCCTCTGAATAAACCAGCACGGTTATTTTTTATAAAATCTAAAGCAGTCTACTTCGTCTCATTGAGAGTTCCTGGTTTAAAAGAACCGGAAGAAGCTTCATAGAGAAATAGTAGCTTATAGTAACATCTTCCAATTTCCCACTCACCACTATGTCCCCTCCACAAATAAACTGCAGCCGTGGCTGGAAGACAGTGATGTCCAGGATGTAAATAAAGTCACAAAGGTAGTCGATAAGCAGCCAATAATAAATATTTTCTGGAGTCTGGTAGGGGAAGGTAGAGCGCACCGGGATGAACCACAAATTCCAGTTCCATGCCACAGACACCAAAAGCAACCACAGCACATACATTAGGTCTGCAGAGAGAGAAAGAGAGAGAAAAAAATAAGAGAAGTAGAGATATTAGGAGATTAAAAAAAAAAGAATTCCCAAAGGTGTAGAGTCAGGACACGTTCAAGCCATTCAGAAAAACAATCAATGGCCACTGAGTGTTTAGCTTCCTTGTTGATTAGTATAAATAATGCTTTTGGTCAAAATTATTTGGATGAAAAATGAAGAGCCACCAGATAGGCCTCTGGGTGTTTGTTCATTTCTGAGTAATTTGAATAAAGAAGTTTCTACCACTCAGTACAGTACAGTGGGTGGTGTATTGGACTAGGATCTCACTGGTGAAGGGGTCGATGCTGGCGGGGAAGCAGTAGTGCAGACAGGCTTGTATCCAATGAGGAGTTTTCATCTTGCAGCAACGACTACACTGCTTCTCCTCCACCTCACTCTCCACTCCTCCTCCTCCTGATGGACCTTCTTGTGCCACCGCCTCTTCCCCACACACTGGCTGAGCTCCAGCAGCAGGCTGAGGAGCTGAGGCCCGAGGAAGAGTGAAGGGAGGTGAGAGAAGGGACAAAAGGTGAGACACAACACCACTGATTTTGAAGACACACAACATTTGATTTAGGTTGACAGAATAAAAATCGTGTCAAAAGGGGGAATTTGTTAGAAATTAATAAATCAGTCAGATAATTATTAGACTTTAATGTGTTATTAATGCAGTTTAGTAAGATTCAAAGTCTGCTCATGTGTGCTCTGCTTCAAGGTTAGAAGATAAGGTTGATTCTGAAAAGTGTACCTTGACACCACTTGTTTTCTTGTATTAATCTTGTGTAAGAATTATGTCTGAATTAATGTTTTAGTTACACATCGCGCATACAACATACACACACACATGGAATTCTTCATTTTGTTTTGTCCAGCTGCTCCAAGCATACGGAGCATAAGATAAGAGAAGGAGATGTCGGATTGTCTCCAACTCCTGATGTTTTTACAGCTGTCTGTGTAAGGGGTTAGCCCAAAACCTTATAAATGTATTTGGCTCTGTGTTTCCGGGGTCTCTCTTCTCCAGCAGCTTGTCTGAGGGAGGGAGCCACCGTGTGTGTTTGTGTGTGTGGGAGGTGGTAAATTGAGCAGGTGTATCAGGAACAAAAGAGCAGGGAAGATCAGTGAGTCAACTACTGCCATGCTCTAAGTGCTCGAGTGCATTTGTGAGTGCATGCATGCATACATTCAACTGTGCGTATTTGTGTGTGTGAGAGACAGAGAGGGAGTGTAAGCTGTCGACCTGGGGGATTTGTCAGGGGAAACAACACACGGTGAATCCCACCTAATGTGCAAGTGAATACACACACTTATGCAAACACACACATGCACAAACACAGCATTGGATTATGTTGATTTTTGCAAATTCCAGAAGGCACTCAGTGATGTAAATACGCTGCTGATTGTCTCTTGGTTTGAGGTGAAGAAGTGGCTCTTGACAAACAGAAAGCCCTCCAAATCTTAGTTTTTTTTTTTTAAACACCAGCCTTTGTAAACTGTCACTGTCATTCCCTTGAACACATACAAAAGATGACATCTCCTGCACACATACTGTACGGGGGCAGACAAATTACATAACATTATGACAACCCAGTGTTCGTTCAACGTAGAGGATACAGTGTGTGTAACAATATGTAAATTCTATTCAAATGCAATAACCTGAACACGAGTGAGTCAACAGTATTATTCAGCACTGTTGTCACTGAAAGACTTGAGCTCCTGGTAGTAGGAGGAAAAAGCTCCAGCTACTTGGGAAACAAAGTAGCCATTTTCACCAAAAAGACTTTCAGATGTATAAATAAATACCTAAGCAAATGCACAATTTATCAAAAAATGTCTGTTTATTCTCCTTTTCATCCACCTGTTTCAGAACTTTAATGAGGTGTAGTGTGGGTGCTGCTTCTTTTCCTCTTTCCATCATTCTTCCTGCCTCCTCTGCTCCTACTGTTCCTCTTAAAAAAAAACAACAACACCTCAGTCCGGTTAAACTGCCTCCACTTTCCACAGGGGGTACTCACAAAGGCAGCTTTTCGAAAAAGAAGTTTCTTACTGAGTTGTAATGAAGGTCCAACAGGCAATATCCATCCATTTTCTATACCGCTTAGTCCCAAACAGGGTCCAACAGGCAATAGTACCTATTAAAATTATACATCAGTAATTAAGGTATATGTCTGATCAGTCTCTGTTTGTCTGAGACCCTGTACTTAGTTTGGCTTTCAAGCACTACCCAAGATGTTTTAGGGAGTAAACCTTCTGTTCTATGGAAGTGTTGTGTGGTGGGCTTGCGACTGTTCAGTGCAGTCAGAAAAAGAAATCACAGAGAAAATATTAACTGCAAAAGTTTTCTTTTAAACTGCAGATTATCTTGTATAACCATCTGTTATTTTTGATCACTTTGATGACTTGTTGATACTCTGAACCGTTACTGTGTGCTAATCTGTTTTATGTTTTTGTTTACCTATATTTTTTTTTTCTAAAAACCCTTTGCTGTGTACTCATCACAAACATCCAGAGTCTACCAACCCAGAAACTTGGAACAAAAGTTATCTTCATACTGATGGTGTCAGATAATATGTTTCATTTTGTTTGTGAGTTTTTTATGTTTATTTTTTTATTTTCCACTTGAAAATTTTTTTCTTTTGTTTGTTCTTTTTTTGTCAAGCATCTTGGTTATTTGTAATTGCTTTTTATTTCTCACTTCTCCTTGTGAGTAATCCTGCTTTAACTGCTGGGATTCCATTCATGTTCACCATTTTCTCCTGTGATCCTGGAGGATTTTTACATCACCGCAAGTTCATCTTTAGCACTGATCAGCAGTCAAAACCATGTAGACACATCTTTTGCATTTACAGCAGGTTTTCCCTCTTTGAGAACATCTGAGTGAACTTGTATTAGATTTTGGGGTGAAAGGCCTTGTCTCTGTAGCATTCCAGCTGCTTCTGAATGTGGATTCAGCCCAACATAATTGGGCTTTTTCAGTACAGATGAATTACACAAGACTTAAGAATTATGCATAAAGTGCTTGAGCCCAGCTGTAATGATCCTTCATTAGTTCATATTTAGGATTTTAAGTAGGAAAAATGCTGACATTATTCCCTCTTGTTTTTATTATTTCTATCTAATATGTAAATGTTTGAGTGCTTTAATAAGATAAAATTATTTACATTTATATAATTTACATATCTTTGTTTTCCCAGACATGCTCAAAATGTATCAAACTGTGACCCCACAACTGTAGTGTGAATCAAACCATGACTTTTGCATTTTATTCGCATTAGATGGATCATATGGCTGCATGTATACCGTATATATACATATATAGTTCAACAATAATAGTGTAGGAAGTGGTTTCATTACTTCCTGTTGTGTGCTGGTGCATCTGTTGCGCTGGTCATAGTGCAAAACAACTTTCCCTGCAAAAGGATTATAAAAACTGTAATGACAAGAAAAAAATATCTTTATCAGTGTAAGGTTTCCCATGTGACAGATGGGATGGGGGTGTCATTACCTCAGCCTGTGCTGGTGATTTTATGTATTCATGTACTGTGGGCGTTTAGTCCTTCTTACCTGCATACTCTCTCTCTCTCTCTCTCTCTCTTTCCTTCCCGCTTCTCGGTATATTCTGTCATCCCTCCTTTTATGGAGTGCAGATAACTCAGTGTGGGAAGGAGAGTATGGTACTAGGTGGGTGTTTCAGAGTAATGGATTGAAACTATGGAGCAACAGAAAAGAGGGGGGGGATACAAAGTGAGAAAAAGAAGGCAGGAGCGATGGACAGCTTGAGAAAGAGAAAAAAGAGAACACCTGTAAATATACCTCGTACAGGTTATACAGATTAAGTACTCTATTTTGATTCCTATTTATCTCATCTCAATGAGCATTCCTCTGTCTGCATTGTTTACATCAGGGTTGTGTCAGGAAGGGCATCCAGCATAAAACACGTGCCAAATGTCAACATGCGAGTTGTCAGTGTGATGATTTGCTGTGGCGACCCCTAAACGGGAAAAGCCGAAAGTGACATTCATACAGGTCTCTAGTTTTAAGTACTTTTTTTATTCCTATTTATCTCATTTCAATGAGCATTCCTCTGTCTGTCTGCATTGTTTACTGCCTGTTTATACTGCTTATTCTGCATTGTTTGGACTGTTTGCTTGTTAATACTGCTTATTTTGTTATATTACACAGCCTTATGCTGGTTTACTGTTTACTTGCGCCTTGCCCAGGTCTCTATTTTTAAGTACTCTATTTTTATTCCTTTTATTCCTATTGCTTGGTACCGCAGATGACTGCCTCGGTTGTGTACCGGAAACAAATTCCTTATGTGTAACATACTTGGCCAATAAAGGTGATTATCCTTATCCTTATATCTCATCTCAATGAGCATTCCTTTGTTTGTCTGCATTGTTTATTGCCTGTTTATACTGCTTATTTTGTATTGTTTGCCCTGGTTGTTGCTTGTTAATACTGCGTATTATTTTTGTTATAAAGAGTGAGTTGAGAGTGAAAGTCACTGAGCAGTTTCAGGTTATTCAAGAATATTGTGTATATAAAGGGCCGTTCAAGGTGTGGGTATGACTTTCATACGTGGTGATTTCCAGCTAGGCAAGGCTGACTCTTTGAACCTGGAGTTAAAATGTACTGTAACAACTAGCAAGAGCTGATAAGCTTGATAAAACCTACTACTTATTCTGTATGTGAGCTCAGTGTGTGGGTGAGTGTAACAGAGAATGACAGACACACTCTCACTCACATGGGATGATGCTGTCTTCATCGGAACTATCAGGATCAATGAGTTTCTCTTTGGCCTTCTCCGTTCGCTCTTTAAACATTCTGACCAGCTCCTGAAGACGCTCGTTCACCACAGTACTGGTTTGACTGGCTGAAGATCCTGGACGTTCTTTGAGACTTGGAAAAAAAAAAAAAATCTGAAATAAAATGAGATGATCCTGATTTTTATTATTTTGTGTGTGCAGTACTCACACATCATCTGGGCTGTGCAGGCTGGACTGGCTGGCCCAGGCCCTGATAGGGGAGCTTCTTTCATCATCATCATCTTCACTTTGAGAGTGAAGTTTGCCACTGCTGTAGTTAAACAGACACAGTTCCCTGTTCAGCTTTGAGACAGTGCTGCCTTGCTTAGATTATTGGGCCCCTTCTTTATTTTCTCTCCAACTGAAAGCCTCTCAGCATCATGTTAAACAACATTTATACTATAAATTATAAAGGGACACAGAACAAATTTATTCTTATAAATGCTAGGTTGTGCCTAAAAATGACAACTGGTATAAAACAATATACTGCTACATGTGATAATGCTCTCTGTATTTATGATTGTTAGAAATGCAGATGAAAATGATGCTTAAATGAATGAATTAGCAAGGGCTAATCAATTCAGATGGGAAAATCAATGAATAAATGAATAGTAATGGATGAAAGGTGGCATAACATGTGGATGAAAAGATGGAAGGATACTAGATGAGTCAATAAAGAATTTAAAGATGTCAGGTGGCTTACATCTTTGTCCAGACAGTCCTATGACTCCTTCCACTCCTGCCGTGCACAATCATAACAAGGTTTGAAGTGCGTGTTTAAGAAAAAGGGGCAAAAAGAAAGAGTTTGTATACAATGTGTGTGCTGGGGAAAACATGATGGTGATACAAGCAATAGCTAATAAGTGAAGATAAATCAGTTCTAGTACAGTACAGTAGGTGACACAGTGATGATGCAGGTGCAAGACTGTGATACATCTGTTTACTGACTTTTGCTATGACAACAAGTATAGTAGATAAAGCACAAAAAATGTAAAAGCCATGCAAAAGTGAGCAGAACCATCACACTTCACAACAGAACTACATAACTGAAAGAAATCTTATATTTTCTAAACAGCTGACCTCTTTTGCATGCACATGGTTTCTGCAAAACACTGAAATACAAACAGATCTCTGTGATGCTTCTACCGGCTTTGACTGAACAGTGACAGTAGAGGGCAGTAGATCCACAGCACTGAGCAGAGTATAAACGAGAGGAGTTTCACTCCAAAATTATACAACTATGATGACATGGCAAATCACATGACTCCAGTTCTGGCATCTCTTCACTGGCTTCCTGTGCATTTTAGGAGCTGTGGTGGGTCCAAATTTGTGGAATGCATTGCCTCTTTATATGAGGCAGGCCCCCTCGTTGCCCATTTTTAAGTCATATTTGAAGACCTATTTGTACTCATTGGCGTTTGGACAGGACTGAGACTCTTTTTTACCTTGATTGGACCCAAATGTATGTTTTATTGTTTTTATTTTTATGTTGTTACGATTTTAGATTTGTATTGTATGTTAAGCACTTTGGTCAGCTGTGGCTGTGGTAAAGCACTATATAAATCAAGTTGAGTTGAGTTGAGAATTATAAAATATAGTTTTATGACAGGAATTCTTTCTACTTCGATAAGCAAATGTTTTGGAATTGAAATTAGATGCTGTGTTCTGCCAGCTATTGTGTGTATATGTTTAATTTGATCTCATTTTGAGTGAAACACTTCACTTGCCAATAGAGAAGCTTGCACTTGCACCCAAATAGCATATCCTAGTAATGTTACATTGCATTCCTCTCTTGTGAAGTGATTTGCCATTAATACATATATGCTATGCATATGTATGGTGTCAGAGGAGGAAAATCATTGTTGAAAGAAAACTGAAAGCACTCCAACAACCCATATAGCTTCCTTACTCTTTATCTCCTTTACTGTAGATGAAAAGAATGAAAGAAGAGAAAAAGATTTAAATATTGTAGTGTGTGCTCAAATAAACAGTAAATTTTAATATCTACTGTACAGTGTGCTTTTCAACATGTTTTACAGATTGACAGAATTTATCCACCACTGGTGCTTAGTTTACCTGTTACACAGCACAACCCTTTTGGTAAGGCTTTAGTTGTGAAGTAAAAGCAAAAATAAAGTATGTCATAAAAAGCATGTCAGTAGAGAGGCAGTATTTCTCACCTTTGACGACCTCCTGAAGGGGTCACAGGGACAGTGAGGGTTGTCAGCTTGGGGTCTTGTGGAGTGAGGATTTGGGGGACCTCCCCTCCTCTTCCATCCCCTCCTTCTCCTGCTTCTCCTTCCCCTTTTCTCTCATGGTCTGAGTCAACATCCTCTATGTTGACAGCCGGATGAAGACTGAGGCTAGAGCTCCCTGAAAAGATGGACAGACACAATAATTTACATTTGTTGTCATTTAGTCTAGGGCATCACAAACAATGGTATGTACAGTACAGTATTTTAGAACTGAGACAAAACTGAGATGATAGCACTTGCAAAGGTGTGATAATATTTATAAATGAAGGTTAGATATGCAAGGGGAAAAGCAGGTCACAGTAACAAGCTGAAGCAGGGCAGGACCGGGAGAGCAGCAGATTTAGTAGGACTGTCCTCAGGCTAATGCAGGAGGATCCACTGCTCAGCTAGGCCATGTGTAATTCCCTGATAGCTGAGAGGACCAGCACACTCATCTAGCTAGCCATTCAGTCTGGCTAATTCTGTGTTCATCTGTTTAAAAAGTACCATCGGTTTGTTTCCTTATTTTGTACATGTTCTACTGAAGCCATACAAAAAATAATTTCTATTGTTCTGTGTTTCTGGACAAAAAAGTGGAATATTTTGAGAACTTGCACATATTCCCTTTTTATCCAGAACTATGCCTACTTCTTTCCTTGAAGCTCCAATAAACAAACTAAATAACCTTAGAGAATGATTTTATATGACATGACAGAATGAGGAAACACAAACAGTGGACCAAAATCCACAGCTGCAACACAAAACAGCTGCCATTTTTCTGACTGTATGTTTATACTCCAGAATCTGTTGTCAGTGGAACTGCCATGACATCTAAAACTAGTTGATAATGTACTGTTTTGTACAATGCTTATTTTTAAATAAAAAATTGTACAGTAAGTAAGAAATCACATGAGGACAATTAGCTTTCCATTGCTGCTAATTCACCTGTGGGTTTGATTGGTGAAGCATATGAATCATCTTCAATGAAGAACGAGAGGTTAGGAAGACCAGACAGCTGGTGTGACAGGGAGTTGAGCTGATTTGATGGGGGGATGACACTTGGTGGCAGACACGGATATGATGGCACGTTGGGCAACTGGAGGGCACTACCACTAGGAGAGGATGGAGACGGGGAGCAGGACCTAAGCTGAGGATGGTGAGTAGGGGAATGTTGGACAAATCGGTGGAGTTCTACATCTTGCTGATTTGTGTCTTGCTTCTGTTTTTTCTGTTGTTGTTGTTTCTTAGGCATCTTGAAGACTGGACAAACATGGGCCACGTGAACTCTGTGATTCTGGGCAAAAACTCAGTCAGAGTGTGGGCAATATTTCGGGGGACCTGTGTGAGTCTGATCTGGGAGAGCTCTCGGTGTAATTCAGGGGGTAGGGTGAGTAAGTACTTGGTCACGTCAGAGAACTGGGTGGGTAGCTTAGGCATGGAGGGTAATTTGGGAGAAGAAATGCCGTTCTCTTTGCAGAATGCGTTGATGTTGCCAAGGTACTTGGAGGTGAAAGGAATGTGCATCAGGCAGTTCTTAAGTGAATCACAGCTGACTGGAGGAGATAGGTGGATAGGCAGATATACAGTCAAGCAGAAAATAAGTGGGAAGTTAGCACTGCTGACAGTCAAACAGCAATGTACACCAATCAGGCATAACATTATGACCACCAGTACATCTGTATGCACTTCAATGCAACACTTCTGCATTAACATTTGTGTTTATGAAGCTCAAAATGTTTCAGCTTTTGGTGAGATTGTCATATATTTATAAATTCAATTATATGTTCATTATTTAGGTCATAGTTAAAGGTGGTGTTGTACTGGACTACATTATATTCAGAGGTGTTCCTAATATTCTGACCCTCTCATGTATGTCATTGGGCAGGACAAAAATATACAGACACCTCTGAAGTCAGTCAGAATGACAAAGACAGCCGTCTAGTTGATAGTAACAGTCTGAGGTTGACAGACAGCCAGAAATCAATTACAGAAGTGGTTGTCTGGACGTACAGTAGATAAAGATGTAGAATGACAACACAAAACAACCAGTCAGGCATACAGGCAGCAAACTGCCAATAATAGCAGTAATATGACTGCATAATCATACAGTATATAGAATCTGTAATGAGAAAGATTTTGCTGTTGGGTGAAAAAGCAAATATAACAAAACAGAATATTACGTACCACCACAGTCATCCCCAGTATCTTCTTCCTCCTATAAAACACACAAAGAAGGTGAATAATTGCCAGCAGTGTGATTATCATCAGTTGGGATATGTCAACGTATTTTTTGTTGGTAAAACATCAGCTGTGAATGGACACAGGGAAGGAGGGAGGAAAGAAGGGAAGGAAATCTTTAAGAGAGGCTATAAATGTCTTGTACTGTAAGTATGTCTTTAATGTAAAAATGTTTTGAGCTATTTTGATCTTTACTTGTTTTTAATGTGGAACAGGACTGGGTTAAACAAGATAACAAAGAAAAGAAAGGGGCATTTAAAACAATGTAAGAATAAACTGTAAAGGGATTTTGCAGCAGTTATTGTATATTCCAGAAAAATGTCATACAATTCAAAGGGTTTAATTTACAGTCACACATTAAATGTTCAACCCATTGTCATTACTTTTTCAGCAGCTTTGTCAGCGTCGTTCCCTTGACTGTCTCCCTCTGCTTTCTGTGGCTGCTAGGTTACAGGTTCAGCTTCAGAACGGGCTTTGTGGGGCTTGGTCTCTGGTTCTGGTTCAGGTTCAGGTTCCAGCTCTGGCTCAGAGGTCTTAACTGATACAGAACTTAGAAGTTGAGAGGTCTGTTGTTGCTTTGACTCTAGATTTCTTAAATGATAGATAGAAGGCCCATACTTAACTAGCTGGTGTTAATGATGCAGATATAAAAATATACTATGGTGAATAAGATATACAGGATTTAAAGACTTAGAAATGTTATAATGTGTTCCTGGACGAGAGCACACTATGATATCTACTTTCCCAGCTACAGTCTCCTTAATGGGAGAATACTGTCAATTCAAAAGAAAGAACAACTTCAGACCCACACTGTTGGGGCGTGGATTACATCTTGATCACAACCTGGATCTGTGTCGGTAAGGACGTCAGTCTCACCCTTCTGTTTCTCTTCAGCAAGATGCTCTTCGTTTCTGCAGGACGGGACAGGAGAAAATCAAATGGTCTGGCAGCATGGACTTGTGCCTATTCACTAAATGGTGGTTGCAGTACCGTAAGTCATGAACATGCTGCTAGAGCATTTAAAGGATTTACATGAAGTCTTCCAGCAATTTTGGAAATTGAAATCAATATATACAACTCCAAATCACAAAACCAATTTAAAATTGACAAGGTATCACATCAAATAATGCGCTGCTCTATTGTTTTCAATGTAATACAGGACACAGATGATGTACAATTCACCGATTTGGGGATGTAAAAAGAGACAGCAATTTACCTAATTATTAATATTTGGACTAATTCACATGGAAACAGGACTGTCAAGTCATAGCTGCACTTTCAAAAAATGGTTGGCTATAGCTTATTTGTGCAGACTAGAAACTGATTAAAGTGGTTTTGAGTGTAAACATAGAAATCAGATGTGGTTCACCATGGCTGCACATTGCATAAATATTATGACAATTGATATTTAATTTTATGGCAGACTGTTCTTGGTTTCAGCATGATGCATCTGCAGTATGCAGAATATATTTATGTCCCAATGTAAACACACAGATGTGATAACAGTGCCATATTATTTTATAGACTGTTATAGAATGAAAAATGTGACTCATTCATTAAATTGTTTTCTTTCCTCACCTATTCCTAATTGAATAATAGCCTGCAAGATACAAAGAAAAGAACAGATTACATCCAAGTAGACTGTCACACTTCTCACTTAAACTACAGGAAATTGTGTAAGCATGAACTTTACTTAGTGTTAGCAAGTGCCTTATATTTTCCCTGTTTTGTTTTACTAAAACGAATGACTTGGTGAATATCTGCAACGGGAAAGCTTATATAACGCTAACTAGCCTGTCTGTTTACATCCGGATAGTAACAAAGTTATACAAAGATAAATAAAATGTCCAACTTATTTATGTCGTAGCATATATTAGTCAATTAGCTAACTGCGACATTATGGCACGATACTCACGTTCTCTCTCAATATTCACCTACGTTAATTTTTAGTGGCACCGAAAGAAAATGTCCATGAGCATTCACATACTACAAGCAACACGAATTCGCCTGTGGGGTTATATAAACCAGATTAAAAGATGTTTAAAAAAAACAACAAACAACATCTCTGTCCATGACTGTGCCGGCGTCAAACAGCAACAGCAGGTGCGCACTGTTACCGGGGAGCCGTCGGTGGGGGCGTGTGGGGGATTGGACGGCTGTTGCCAAGGGAAGCTGTGGTTGCTATGGCAGTGTGATGCTTAGGCAGCGCGCGGCAGAGATCACATAACGAGAGCCCACGGGATTTGGAGGGACACAGATGAGAGAGCATGAGAGTGACAGCTCAAACGGAACTGGGATAATGGGGTTTTAAGGTCTCTTTAGTGGTGGAGAGTAAATTTGTGTAAAATTTTTCTAATGTACTGAACATAAATGCATCAAAGATATTTGTACTGTACTATATTTAATGATATTTTTTAATATGTTGGATAAAATATGATAGACTTTACTCCACTGTGGCTCAGTGGGGAGAGCAGCTGTCTCCCAACCAGAGGGTAGGAGGATCAAATCACGGTCCCTGTAATCCACATGGGCAAGACACTGAACTCTCAAGTTGCCCCTGATGGTTGGAGCCATCGGTATGAGCTGGTGCTGCAGATTACTACCTCAGTTCTGTACTGGAAACAAATTCCGTGTGTAACATACTCGGTCAAATAAAGGTGATTATTATTATTATTGGTTTTATCTGACAATTGGAGTTACTTTGCATATGCAGATTTAACATACAAACAACAACATTTTGCTGGTGATACTATGTAAAATTGACCTGAGTAGGGTATGTTTTCCATAGTATTGCTATTTTGATTTGAGTTGAAGATCTGAAAAGTTTTCTAACCGTTGGATCTGATACTCTATAGTTCCATCACAAATTAAAGAATCTCAGCCTTGTAAAGATGGTGACAATGACAACATGTAAAAATTACAACTTAAGATAAAACTGTCATAAGGATAGTTTGTATGTTTAAAACACTGTTATTTAAGATATTCTAAAATTAATGCTATAAACATTCTTTGATAATGGATGCAGCAGTAGAATGATACACATTCTAGGCAAAAGGACTAAATGGGTTAAGGATCCTACAAGTGAGTTCAAGGAAACTAAGAGCTGAGAATTCTTTCATTTGAATTCTTACTCTGTAATTTTATTGTGCTCCACTTCACTCTTCTCTTCTTGTGGCACTGGCAGCCTGGTGATAGAGAACACACATTGTCTAATCACTTCACAAAGAACCCCCGCTGCCAAAAATAAAACATGCCTGAACACCACGGATTCTTTCTCTTTCTCTAGCTCAGCACATGGTCTTACTCGACTTTAGGCCCCTCCAGCAGTTCTTGATTGCCCAGTGAGAGTTTGATGGAGTATCCTTCAATGGCCATCTCAGCTGTATGCCTGGTTACCTCCTCAGCCATATGTGCCATCTCTATGCCTTCCTGCCGCAGAAAAATATTACACTGATGTGATTGTGCTGTGTGGTAAATTAAATTGTAAATGTCTATAGCTCATCCATAGCTAAACCAGGTTCATTTGTCTGACTACTTCCACCCCATTGTTCTTCACCTCTCTTACCATTCCTCCATATTCACCAAAGTTAAACCTTCAGCCTCCTCCTTTCAATAAATGGCGTCCAGTGGCCTGTCTGGGTCTCAGCATCTTCCTGAAATATTTTGGTCACACTCTCTGATGGTTCTGGAGCTTCTCTGACATCACTACACTTCAGGAATTGCATGGATGCCACCAACAGGGAATCTGACTGTGTCTGCTGTGTTACTTCCTGCTGCTGGTATGCTGTTGATGATTGTGGAGTCAGTGACGTGGATGTTGTTGCAGCTGTGCAATGATCACATTTTTGCTGACCCTCGTTGTCTGATTCCATGTCTTCTAGCACCAAATCAGGTTTGAATTTGGATGAAGCTATGAGAGGGTGACAAGGGTCAATTTGTCTATAAAAACCTTTGGTCATGTAAGTGATGAATCTGGTAAAGTATGAGGGATTTTTGGATGCCAGAGATGGCACAAGAACTATTTAATCATTCATTCTCAGGATATGTGGCCAGATATTAACATCTGTATTTGATCTAATGATGGGAATTGGTAAATTTATGGTTGTTTTTATGTTGGGCTTCTCTGTAACTGGTAAACTACCAGTTGTGACTCAAGACTTTATACATACAGTATATAGGCCTTATACATGAATAAGGCATGGCGTCAAATCAAAGGTTGTAGAAAGTATTACGTTAACCTCAATTAAACCTTTGTACAAGCTTTCTGGAACTTGATCAAGACCCAAACTGAACTCAACTTTCTTTGAGCACAAAAAAATAATAGATTCTTAAGGATTAAGACTTATAGATGAAAATGATATAACTATAGATAAAACTTTATAACACAATAATAAATAAGCATAGCTGCCATTTAATCATTATTTCATGATTTTTTTCAAGAAAGAAAGATATTACAGCTTAATCTGAGATACTTTCTAAAAGATGTTTACATTTTTACCAGTATATCTTCTTTTTCTCTTTTGCTAAAATGGCAACATGAATATATAGTGTACAATGCCATAGGTTAAAGCACAATAATATGACGTCTGCAAACCTTTGTGCACAAAACCTACAGTAATTTCAAATAAATGTCAATTTTTGACTATTTCTGTGTACAATACACTTTTGTGTATTGAAAATGTGCAACTTCACTTCACTTATAATGACCTATAGAATGTACAGAACAATACACAGTTAGATATTACTGGATTATATTACCAGGATTTCAAGTAGTAATACTAATATAAAACTTGTTGAGTACAGTAAGGTGAGTTGAATATATCTTTGTTTTCTTGTAGTAGTTTACAGATGCCTAGAGTTTCTTTACTGAGCTGCACACCGCATATAACTGTTGCTTCACCAGCAGTATAATGTGTCTATAAGTGTCTGTCTGTGGGAATCAGAGCATCCCCCAGTGGTCTCCTCCTCCTGTTTAAGGGGCTCGCAGGGCCTTCCCTTCTGAAACAGAAGGAGAAGAGGGACTGAGTTAGGCTCTGATTGTCCAACTGGGGGAAAACACAAGAAGGTGCTTCAACAGAAAGCACATATAATCATGTCCAAATGTTACAGTGACCCACAGGAGTTACTCAGAAGGCCAAAGGTCTGCATATTTCACCAGTAAAATAATGACTTGAAAAATAAAATGCACCCCATGTTGTTATTAAAGAGATGCTTTCTGCTAGCTGTGGGCATGATTCTTTAGCAAGCCCACCCTTTTCAGGGAACACATTAACTGATATAGACTCACTTGACTGAACTGTGAATTGTGGCACTTAGGACCAGTGGAACTGGCAAATGTATGGGTTTTCTGTGACTACAGGAAAGTATGTTTGAGTGACTCACCTTTCTGTGAAACTTCAGCTGCATCCTGAGAGCAAAACCAAAAAAGAAACAGCAGTTGTATGAGTTAAATTTCTATCAATATGCAGTAGAAACATGGTAGTGACAGCACTATACTAGAGGATATGGGTGGTAAAGGGGAGGGTGATAGGTAGTGAGCAGCATTTCTTTTTCCTTAAACCTACTTCAGTATCATCCTTGGGTGGGATGGCAGTCTGAGGCATTTTCAGATCTAGTCCTGACATGAACCAGCCAATCACACTGTGAAACGACAAACTAATTACCTGTATGCAAAAAAGGTGCTACACACTTTTGTATAGTCTACATATGAATGACAAATTAAGCTGATCAAGATCCTCACATCTAAAGTTCCATGTGCTTCAGCTGGCCAAGCTGTGCATCTGATATTGCTGGACAAAATCCACTTCTGTCCAAATAACAGTAGCAGTTGTACAAATATTATCTTATCTTAGCGTATTTTGATGTGTTTTAGGCAAACTGGCCTTTGTCATGGAAAACATTTTTCTGGTGCTTCGGGGCGGGAGCATCACCAATACACTCCGGTTACTTTATTGATTTTACTTTCACACACACACAACTTAATAACTTAATTTAACAATCCCTTTGTCTCTTTTGTTAATGTCTGTTGTCTCATCTGCTATGTTATGTCCTTTAAATGAATGAATGTGTAATTTTGTGTTGCAATAAAAAAAAGAAAAAAGAAAACAGAGAATTCCATTTTGCTTCACTTTTCAGTGTCCCAGTATTGTACATGCTGGCTCACTGTCACACTGCTGTGATTTACTGGGACACTTATCAATGACAGACCCACAGATGTGATTGTTTACACCTGCACTTTTCTTATTATGTCAAGTCAAAATGTCTGCAGTGAAAAAAGGTACTGAGCTCACCTTATAGGCAGCTATCAACATTTATTTTCCCCATGGACTTCATTTAAATGTCATTGTTAAAAATGAAGGCTTCCTCTATTCAGAAAGAGGGATCCAATCGTATCCTGAGGCTTTGCTGTCCGTATCCAGAGAGATTGCACTGAGCGATTCAGCTGGTGGAGACAGAACTGGTGAACAAAGTCAAAATATGTATTTGTTATAATATAGATCTTTAGACTTATAAAATTTCAGGTGCTGTTTTCAGTGTGAATATGACTGTGGCACTATAGGGGTTTGTGCATTCAAATGACACTTTATGGGTCCATGTGAAACTGTCTGATTGTGTGTGTGCGTACATTTGACCAGAGAGGAGCGGGGGGACTTGTTTGATGGCTCTGTGGGTACTGCACCAGGGGGCAATGTAACTGGCTGAGGCATCATCTGTTTTATCCACTTCACCACTCTGCAACAGAGGAAGGTTGGCTCTTCGAGTTCCTTTAACAACCTACTCTCGTTTGTGTGTCTGTGTTGATTCAGATGATACAGTAAGGTGTACACACAAGGGGTGGGGTTCCAGCTGATCATAATAAACTTTGGACAAAAGGACCAATCAAATGTCAGCTGCAGGTAGCATATGTTGGTGTGTCAAGGTCCGGCTTTAATAGTTGTGAATAATTAGTAAGATGTGATTTCAACTCATTTCTGCCTCTGACCCCTCATCATCTGACACCTCCACCACCGGGATGTGTGGGAAGGGCTCATAATCTGGATAGAGAGGCCATTCAGACAGTTAAGTCAGGAGGGGAGATTCCCAAGAATCAATAGTGGTCATTTCACACTGATGCAATATCATGTTGTTACTTTGTTATACTTACTAACAATTGAGATGGCATTCATACATACTAGTCCTAAATTTCTTTTCAAATTAGTCACTGCCCTATACAGTACATGCAGTGCTTTCAAATGAATTAATATCTAATCATCACCCTTTAGGAAACACAGAAACATGATAAAGAAGCATACCTGGCATTGTTTCTACATCATACATCTAGGACAGCAGAAAGAAAAATGCATTTGGTCAGTTCTTTATGGTACATTTTTTTATATTATTGCATACATATAAGTGGGGGCAGCGGTTAGCACCTCACAGCAAGATGGATCTGGGTTTCAGTTGGTGATTGGTGGCTCTAAATTGCTGGTAGGTGTGACTGAGTGTCAGCCCAGTGATAGGCATCATCGGGTCCCACAGTATGAAAGGTTGGAGTTGTTCCTCAGTGTTTAATATAATACCTACAGTATATATAACAACTTATAATACTGGCATTGCTAGGTATGTTTAAGGTTGCATTGTGTTGTAGTTACAGTGTTGATTTGTTTTTCCTCTAGCTTGGCGTGTAACACAAAATGTCTCAGCGTAATTGACTGGCTGAATATACACTTAAATGAAGTTCTGTGTCTCACCTCAGTGTGTTCCTGGGGGTAGGTGACAATAGTCTCGCATCATCTTGTTCAGTCCCTGAGCAACCCAGCCCATCATTCCAGGCCTGTGAGAGAAACAACCTTGAATTTACTTTTGATTTATATTTTTTCTTTAAATATTCACTTTTTTAAATAATACTGTATCTTTCCTCTTCCTCTCCTGACTGGTGGATGGAAAAGAGGAAAAAGGAGAATTAAAAAAAAATTAGAAGCAAATGCATAACCTTCTTGACAGGACAGCTCTCTCTTTCCTATATTAGTGTATACTTTTTTCCTAAAAATTGTTCAGAATACTCATTTTCACAAAACTCAGCTTAGTACCTCTGTGTGTTAAACCAAAGGCAGTGGTAGAGGACATTTTGTTTTTGGCTGGTTGGACTGAAGGGACTGAATGGATATTAATTCTCATTTAAAAACACTGACAGAAATAGTCAGGCAGAGAACTTAATTAAAAATAACAATATCCATAACCATACACTGTAGTTCATCCTCTAACTTTAGTTGCTATATCCTGAATGCTATAAAGTTTCATGAGAAGCGATTTTGATAACAATAACAAAAATGTTCTATATCAATGTTATTATAGCTGCGAAGCATGATTATCTTTTTGTGTACATACACTTAATGACCCTGATTTAGCCTTGTAATCAATGGACTAAATACCACTCAAACATATGTGGACTCACCCTGGCATCAGAGTTGGCCCTGCTGAGTCGAGGGGACCCAGCAGGCTGTGGCAAGGCACTGACAAACCTGTTAGACAGCCAGCCTAACACTCCGGTCTGGGCCTGGCTGTAGAGGAGGTGAAGAAAGATGGCAAGATCTCAGTATGTACACACACACACACACACACACAAACACATTAAAACTCACAGAAAGCGGAAATTTACCTGTCCTCTGAAACGTCCACTGTGTTTTTCAGTGGAGGACTCTTTACTGTAGTATACAGCAAGTTAAAAACTAAATATTTACATTTTAGATACATTCCTACACATACAGTAAGCAGGTGACTTTTGTCAACAAAATTTACTGCATCTGTACATACTGTACAATTTAAAGGTGCAGTACAAATAGTATAAAACAAGGTGAAAACAATCCTCACCCCCTCTTGATTTGGTCAGGTCCTGTAAGGTCAGAAAGAAAAACAAGCCAGAAGAAATACTCAGAAAATACAGTGTATATGTAATTTTGGACTATATGTCACACGTCATTAGTTTTGTAGTACAGCAGCAGGAGTCTTGGCAGCTTCATCTATTCCACAAGCTTCAGGTGGTTGCGGGACCACTTTCACCACCCAGTTAAACAGGCACACAGTTAGCCTCTCAGCAGCTCCTCATCAAACACTGTCTTTCAGCTGTTACGTACTGTAACAGCTTTTTGATATCTGTTATGCTTTTTTTTTTTTACAACATTTAGCATTTAAAGCAGTTTATAATGTAAGTCTATGGAAGTCTTGGTCCTCTTTGAACCTTGACAGGCCTGGCATACTTTGAGCTACAACCAACATTTCAACTGTCATAAACTCATGACATATTTAGCTATAGACATTGTAAAAAGCTTTTTGATATCTTTTACGGTTTTTGCATGATCACCATTTACAGTTTATGTGAATGTCCATTCATTGTACCAGACTCACTCAAGGCTTCACTTACACCTTGTGGTAAATAAAGTGCAGTGCAATGTAGCCTGTGGTAGACTTCAACTCTTCCTCCTCTTTTAACAGGTCAGGTCGTTCTTTCTGTCTCTTTGTTTCATGCAGTTGGTATCTGTGTTAACTGAATGTCTGTCATCTGCTACTACTGCAGTATCCTTGTTGCTAGTAGCCCCTTCACTGCTTCTACTTTCTTTTCAAGTACTTCTGACAGTACAACCATGTTGTAATACTATGAAAACTTGAAATGTTAATAATAATAAAAATAATCAGATTGACCTTTATGGTAGCATGATAAAAGGAACATAGAAAATATTGTACATTAATATCACACTTGCACAAATAGAAAACCATTATTGTATTTATATTTTTATTTATAAGGCAAATCAAATCAAATTGATTTCTACAGCACTTTATAAGCTACTTCCCACTGACCAAAGTACTTCACATGCATAAACAAACAAAGAAACAAAACACAAAACTGTTAAATACAAGTCAAATCAGATTAGTTATGAAGTCCTTTGAAAGACTGGTGTTGGCCCCCCTGAAGGACATCGTAGACCCCCTGCTAGACCCCCTTCAGTTCACCTACCAGGCAAACAGGTCAGTGGACGATGCAGTGAACATGGCACAGCATTACATCCTGCAACACCTCAACTCCCCAGAGACCTAAGTACGGGCCTTTTTTGTGAACTTCAGCTCGGCGTTCAATACCATCATCCCAGACATCCTCCACTCCAAACTGACCCAGCTCACTGTGCCTGCCCCCACCTGTCAGTGGATTACTAGCTTTCTGACAGACAGGGAGCAGCAGGTGAGGCTGGGGAAAACCACATCCAGCACCTGGACAATAAGCACAGGTGCCCCCCAGGGATGTGTGCTCTCCCCTCTGCTGTTTTCACTCTACACCAACGACTGCATCTCAAAGGACCCCTCTGTCAAACTCCTAAAGTTTGCTGATGACACAACGGTCATTGGTCTCATCCAAAACAGAGCTTCTCTCAACCAGAAGGGGAAAACAGCACATGCAATGCAGCATACATTGAGCTTGCCCAACAGGACTCCTCGTCGGGGAATCGAACCCCGGTCTTCCGCGTGACAGGCGGAGATACTGGCCACTATACTAACGAGGACTGCCGCTCACCTGGTCCTGTTGGACGTCATCCAACATCAGGACCATCGTCAAGAAGGCACAGCACAGGATGTACTTCCTGCGCCAGCTCAGGAAGTTTGACCTGCCCCAGGAGCTGCTGATACAGTTCTACAGAGGAATCATCGAGTCTGTTCTCTGCACCTCCATCACTGTCTGGTTTGGCTCAGCAACCAAACAGGACAAGTACAAACTTTAGCTGACAGTCAGGACTGCAGAAAAAGTCATTTATTTATCCACAAGCCTGCTCTTCATGGAGGACCTGTACACCTCACGGGTCAAACAGAGGGTGTAGAAGATCACTGCAGACCCCTCACACCCCGGACACAATCTGTTCAAACTCCTCCCCTCTGGACGGTGTTACAGGTCACTGTGCACAAAGACAACCAGGCACAAGGACAGTTTCTTCCCCCAGGCTGTCACTTTGATGAACACTTAACCAACGACAGTATGACTTGACAATAACCCTCAGTGTAATACCTGTAAATATACCTCGTACAGATTATACAGATCCATACAGGTCTCTAGTTTTAAGTATTCTATTTTTATTTCTATTTATTTCATTTCAATGGGCATTCCTTTGTGTGTCTGCATTGTTTACTGCCTGTTTATACTGCTTATTTTGCATTGTTTGCATAGTTTGTTCCTTGCTAATACTGCTTATTTTCTTATATTACACAGCCCAGCTGGTTTACTGTTCACTTGCCCCTTGCATGGGGATATGTACATACACATTGAGAGCTGATGTACCAGAGTCAAATACTTCACATACATAAACAAAAAAAAAAACTATGAACAAATACAAGTCAAATCAGATCATTACAAGGGATGAAACGACACCATAAAATGCAGAGAACATAAGACCTTGATAAAATAGAATGTGTGACACTGCACTATGTATTAAAAGGCCAATGTAAATAAATGAATGAATGAATGTCTTAAGCTATGAGTAAAAAGCTGTCAGGTCTGTAACAATTTGAAAACAGACTGGAAAAATAATTGTAATATTAAATGATTATTGGAATTGGGATAATTTGCCTGAATCAATTTAGTTTGTATCAGACCCCAACAATGACAGTAAACAGCTCCAATGATGGGGTGACAATCCAATCAATCTCAAATCCATCCAATAGGCTTCACAGGTTTGACAGGAATGATGACTAGCTGTAGTCTGGAGGTCTGTATACAACTGCACTTGCTGGGGCTTCAACCATTTTTAGCTGCTGTATTTAACTGTCCTGCTGCGTGGTAAGTGTTGGGAAACATGTCAAGTCTGTCTTTAGTTACGTGATTTATCCACAACCTCAACTTCTTTTTGAAGGCAGTGACTTTGTCAGTCTGTTCAAAGATGTTATGTCCTCTCCCCTGCATAGACACGTTTAAAGTGTTGAGGTGCTCAAACACATCGGCAAGATACACCATGCGCATGAGCCAGAGTTCATCACTGAGCATCTCAGTGTACGGGGAATTATTGTATGAGAGGAAGGCGGCGATTTCGTGTTTAAGCTCGTAAAAATGTGACATTACCTTTCCCCTCGAAAGCTAGCGAACTTCTGAACGATACAACTAGGTGTGCTCTGATCCCAGGTCTTTGCACAGCTGCGTGAAACAGCAGCTGTTCTTGGCGCTCCATTTAATGTAGTTCACTATTTTTATGGCATCTTTCAGTGTTGTATCAAGCACTGGCACAATATCCTTAGCCACAAGTACTTCTTGGTGAAGAAAGCAGTGATTCCATGTCGCATTTGGTGCTCTCTCCAGGATTTTCTTCACAACTTCGAAGTCTTTTCCAGTCATGGAAGCTGCACATCAGTTGTTACCCCCACACAATTGTAGTGTACAGGAGTGTACACTTTGTGGGGATCAATGGGAAAATCTTCACATAAGTTCACCATACTTTCAATTAGAAAAGCCATTCAGGTATCAAAATGTTCAGCTCTTCAAGGACATTCCTACTTGTATTTATTGCATCTCATCCTTTAGATTATTCAACAAAGAACTTCAGCCATTTCTTCTCAACTATTTCAACAAAGAACTTCAGCCATTTCTTCTCATCCTTCAGCTGTTTCAGCAATTGATTTCAGGCATTTTCAGGGTGATCCTTCAGCATATCAGCATCC